AAGAAAATGAATTAAAATATTATCATGTTAAGGGTACTCAATGACTAGCACATGAATGACGTTAGTGACAGGAAATTGAACTAATAAGAAATTAAAACTACAATGACAATATATATATATATATATATATATATATATATATATATATATATATATGAAACCAACGAATTGTATAAAAAATATTTAATTATTTTATCATAAAAATAGCAAATAATATAATTTGTTTTTGTATTAGTTCTTTTATCAAAAAATATATAGTTTGATTAAATCAAAAAGACAAAAATACCAAAAAAGATATTTAGTAGACCAAAATATCAAAAAGACTAACCCCTTAAGTTAAATGGAGTATTTTAATAGATTTAGTTCAAGGGACAAAAATAATTATAAATTACAAATCATATGAACGAAAACAACAACAAATTTCAAAATCACAATATTTCACAAACTATGGGGATGAAAATCATAGTTTATTAAACATCATGACGGTCAATGACATATTTTCCGAATATTTTTAGATTTTTTTTTTAAATTATTTATTTCTTAAGTATCTTATTCGGTTATCATATGTAACCGAATCCGAATTTTTAGGAATAAGAAATTCACAATCACGTGTAAAATTACATGTGTTTCACATGATTTTGGCTGCGACCTAAAATCGTCGGCCATGTCCCCCCGCACACCCTTACTTTGACTGTTAATGTAAAATTATATGTGATTTTGTATGTAATTTGCTCTTTTTTGTGTTCTTTTATTTCGTTATTGTTCTCGTTTAAACCTCTCCTCTCTATTTATATAATTATATATATATATATATATAGAGAGAGAGAGAGAGAGAAAGAGAGAGAGAGTTTGTTTCAAATGCAACCTATCATATTTACACAACCAATGCAACCCAATAAATTGAAATATTTATGAAAATGATGAGAGTTTATTTATTATGATTTAAATATTTATGGAAGATGAATAAAATTCATTAATTATGATCAATACTTTATATAAGAAAACAATCAAAATTTATATGAAATTACATATTCATCAAATTAAATGGACGGTTAAGATTGAGTTGTATTGGTTGTACAAATATAAGGGGTTGTATAATAACTCACCATCTTTCTCTATATATATTTTGTTTCTAGTTATATAATTATGTACAAATGAATCAATAAATAAAACAGATATGATCGCAACCTCAAGTGTTTGAAGTTGAATGGTCGGCTTCTCCACCTCAACTAAAGCATTCATCAGATGCTCCCCGTTACTTTGATCACACAGTCCACTACCAACGTATTTGATTTCTCCCCTTCGCAGGAACTCCGCATTAGAACAACATTAGGTAACCTAATAGGATGCCTAAAATGTTTAAACATCATAATAGTATATTTTATAAGACTTAAGTTTATAAAACCAGACTATAAAATGTCGTGTATAAAAGTGTTACAATAGGTTTATATGACATATGTTTGAACGTTTTAACAAGTTTTTTAGAACAATTTGAAATAACGTATCGTATTAGTTATTTTATACGATACTATTTGAAAAAATGTCATAAAAAGATTGGTTTATAAGACACTTGTCAAAATTGTCCAATAAAATACCTAAAACAACACTTTATTTTTTAAAAATATTCTAAAAAACTTATTAAAAAGTATAGTTATATTAACTTAAGTTGCACAAAGTAAGCTATTAATCGTTTAAACATTTAAATCTTTTAAACCAAATTTTGTTATAGTGAAAAAAGAAACAAAGATATTTTATTCGAAGGGGTTCGATGGGATACGTAGGGAAAGAAAAAGGGGTTGACAAGAGGGAGAGAGGTTTGGGTTGGGGTATTGAGAGAATAGGTAGTGGGAAGGAAGTGAGGTGAGCAAGGGAGGTGGGTAGTGGCTAGGTTGTCACCCGATGTCGCAATGGTTCAATGAGCTAGGGAGGTGGGTAATGGCTAGGTTGTTACCCGATGTGGCAATGGTTAAATGAGCTAGGGAGGTGGGTAATGGCTAGGTTGTTACCCGATGTGTCAATGGTTAAGTGAGCTAGGGAGGTGGGTAATGGCTAGG